CGCTTGAAAGGCGCTAAGACCAGGCGCCGTTGCAACTCCGACGTCCAGTCGGAAAGCGGCAATGAACACGAATCTGCTGGCCTATCCAATACTTGAGTAAGCTTGGCCCTGAGGGTCGGAAAGCGTGTAGACAGTCTGGCAGAAAGGCCTACCAAGGCCCGCGAACGGAAGCGAAGAAGGCGCGGACAGCGGAGGATGGCGGGGCTACTGAAAGTGCTCACAAATCGCGCGATCTCCTGCAATGGAGGAGCCGCATGCATCAGAAGTGCACATTGAACGGTAAAGGTCAAAACACATTCGTGAAGCAAATCAAAGATCCAAAAACAAGGGAAACTGGGAAGACACGACATACATTTTGTGTGGCCCGAGACCACTGGCGTGTTCACAGAGGACGACATGGAGAGGCTAGGGCTGACACCGAAGTACCTCAGCTCACCAGATCAAAGGTCCGAAGCCGTCTTACCGGCAAACAAGGAAATTCACAAAAAGCTGTGTTATGATCCGAAGGTAGGAAGCTACTCTTCTATGTCGGATTTTCGACTAGCTCTAGTGCCAACTTATCTACCTCTTCACTGTCTCCTCTGTCTCTATGCAAACTGCAACGATCACGCCAACCATCGCCCTTACCGCACCTTGTGGTCCTAGGCTACGTGGCCATGTAACTTTCTTCCTGATGGCAGCCTACAACAGACTACTGAGGATTGTGGCGCTGTTGCTTTGGTAGTCCATTCTGCTCTAAGAGATCTAAATAAGGGTTGCCATGCATACGCAGGGGCTTTTCTTGACTACTACTCAGCCTTTAATATAATCCTGTACCATCTTCTTAATAAAACGTCTACATCCGACTCTCCAGGCTGGATTGTACCTTGGCTTGGAGACTATCTCACTGCCCGCATTCAATTCGTTCAGTGCGGTAAGCGGAAATCCACGGTCCTTCCGAACAACTCTGGAGTCCTTTAAGGGTCTATCTTATCCCCTCATCTTTTCTCCCTCCACACTAACGACCTACGATCGCCAAACGAATGTTTATATGATAAAGATGCTGATTATATGGTTGTTAGCCCGACTCTCAAAAGTCAGATATGTTTCCAAGTACTGAAAGATGGCCTGGACCACATTTGAGCATGGTCGTTACCAACTGGCTTTTGATTAAACGACCAGAAGTCAGTCCAGTGTGTTTTCCGATTACAACCCTCTACCAGCCCTGAATCCATTGCCATTCTGCCCAATGAGGTATCCTCTTTCCGGTACCTTGGTGTTAATCTGGTATTTAACCTCTCATTTACTCTTTATATTGAAGGCCTCTGTATTAGAATTCATAAACTTTTATATCACATCCGCAGTTTGCGTTCATATCACACACGACAAGCCCTAATTTGGCGATTTATAGATGCACGCATTCTCCTCCTCACTATCTACTGCACTCCAGTTATTTTTCCAGCCTTACTTAGAAAAAGATCTGTGCATTTTTAAACGTATTTTCAAAATGCTCTCTTCCACAACCAGTGTTTCTCATGTTTTCTTTAGCTGATATTATAACACAGCGACATTTTGAAACGGTCAATCAATTTGCTGATCGCAATCTTGTTGAGGCTGCTTACCCTCTCCACTCTGAACTGACGGCTGCGAAATCTTCTCGTACTATGCGTCGAGGTTTCGGTCATTAGTCTTGCCGTAAATTGCATATCAATATACTATACGCCCATTCCTAGCACGCTACCTCACGTGTGAAGAAACGGAAATTCAGAAGATGAAGTCAGACCTGTCAATAACATATGTGGATAGCATGTAAAGCTTTGCATGTTGAGTATTCTATGACCTTTACTTTAGCTTATTCCTTGCGCTCAGTGAATGGAGCCATTTCTCGGCGAACATTTTGGATATTTAACTTCAAAATAAAGCAGCAAGGGCGTATCATGGGCGCATCTCCGACACTTTGGTGATGTTCTCGTTACCTGTGCGCCCTTTTCCTCGTGTAACCCTGAGGATATTGATAAACACCGCGATGGGCTCCCCTGACTTGCTTGAAACCCTCCCAACTGCATGCCGTCCTATCTCGCATATACTCTCCTCCCACGAGCGACAGTTTTTTCTCCTTAAAATCCCTCAAACGGCATTCAAGCTTCTGGAATTTCAGAACAATGACTATGAAGTTTCTTTTTACTATCTGCTCTTTTTGTTCAGTTCCACTTACCGGCTCGTATAAATTGGCATCGCCAGTAAGGCAGGGAGAAGAGCAATACTTACAAATACGGTTATATTATTTGGAAGCAGTGAGCAGCCATGTATGTTTGCCTAACGAACCGACCGGCGTCTGCTCGATTTTCTTCTGCAATCACGTAAACTACCTTTTTTGTAATGGCCTTCTGTACCAGAGCATTCCTTATCTGCTGTGTATCAATAGGGAGTTTAAAGGCATTCGCCTTTGACCTGACCTATCACTGAAAAAAGTCCTTCCTAGGTTCGAGAAGAATATCGGCTGGAATATATAAAACACCAGGATATAGCTCCTGTATGAGATTCTCTCAGTTAGGCCGAAGGGTGGCTAGTCTACACGACGGTGCATCACCAAGGCCTGGGGAGTCGAACTGGGAGAGGAAAAACTTACACCAGAGAGTGAGTTTCGTGCACAAGTGCAAGCCTTTTTCATGATAGCATGGTACTTTGCCAGGCCAGAGCTTTTGGGTAGGTCATCAAGACGACAGACGCCGTGGGCAAAACGGGAGCCCTCCTCTGACAGAAAGAGGATGTCAAGAGCTTCAGTAATCTGTAGAGAAAAATAAAGACAGGAAACAGAGATGATGATGACAGAAAGGAACACGATCTCTCGGCTAACGGTATCGCGTTTGAGACCTCTCGAAGGAGCATTAATGATCAGATTACGAACGTAATCGAGTGCCTGTTTAAGAAGGAATACACATAACATTAATTCATTTTTTTATCGCGGCCAAATACATGCTCTCAATTCTGATAGTGTATATCGCTTAAACGAATATAGTTAGTTTATAGTTCAGAACGTAATACGGACATATTTTACCAACACAACGTAAAAATCAGAGTCAGCTGTTATTTAAGTTCTTACCAAAAAGTTACTAATGGGGACGCGTTTGAAAGTAGTCAATACTAGTACAATCAGAGACCAATCTAATTTAAGGTCCACCATACTTTTCAAATCTGTTTTATATCAGGAATTGTGACATCAACTTGCAGCATAATCTCAAGATTTTGCAGACATATCAGGATGCGGACTCCCGGAAAAACCTCACTCGATAAAAATGACTACTTATATAGTGTGAACTTTTTCTTTAGATTTTCAATATCCTAATAAAATTTAATACACTTTATAGAAAACCTAGAGCAAAGTATACTCTCTTGCACTCATTTTATAGCAAATTACGTTCTCCTTAGATTTGATGCACAAAATAAACGTATATTTAGGATCTAAAAATGCTTTCTAATTCCGGACTAATTTCCAGCCCGATCTGCCGTTGCATTTAAGTTACGGGTTTTCAGTCTACACATTCAACTATTTTTATAGAAAAAAGAATGAAGCATATTCTGTCAAGGAGGCAGACTTAAAAAAACTGCGATCTGGCCTTGGTAGGAGGAAAATAACCAAGAAGTGAATACTTAAATAACTTTAATGACAAGATGGGATTAGAAAGAGTGGCAAACGATCGGCAGTTGATTTATATGGGATGAGTATAAACAACCTTTGTGAGAATGAGATCCCAATAGCCACCTGACTTATCGTCAAAGCGGCGACGCAGCTCGAGGAGTACGTAGACGGAACAATTGTGCCACTGGCATTCGACCTAGAAAACCAAACAAAGAAAAA